GCTATCGCTCTTTTCCCTGATGAGACACTTTCTGGCATACCGCCTTTACATGAAAAACTTGATCATCTACAGATCCCAGATTGTATGGGAGATGTTGTTGGCCCCATTGACGGCATGTTTTTGGTATACACTTGGTATAGTGATGGTGACCGTATGGCTCTGTGGAACCCTGCTATGAGAGAGTTTAGACGCCTCAATGTACTCGAACCAATTTTTCCACCGAATTTTCATGCCGTTGTAAATGTAGTTGGATTTGGGTTGGACCCATTGACTAGGGATTACAAGATTATTTGGATTCGTGACTTTTATGAAGCGATTGGTGATGAATTGGGTGATGAATCAGGTGATGACATAGATTATCCGTATTATGTTGTTGCAGTATACACTCTAGGTACAGATTCATGGAGACATTTCGATCTTCTTATGATACCTACAGGCCGTTTCATCTATAATTCCTTGTGTGCCACATGCATAAATGGAGCATATTATTGGCTGTGTGCTGTAGGTAATGCTAATCAATATAGCATCCTTTCATTTGACTTGAGGCTAGAGGAGTTTAGAGAGATAGAGGTGCCTGCTAATACTGAATATATATGGGGGTCTCTTTCATTATACAACGGTTCTATTGGTTTGTTCTTTTGTCAAAGTGATGTGACTATGGAATGTGTTATTGATATATGGGTGATGGAGGAGGAAGGGTGTTGGATCAAACTAGTAACAGTAAAACTCTTTCCAGAAGTTTCACGTCTGTGTGGGTTTTGAAAGGAGAAGGAGCTTTTGTTTGAAAGTCGGATGAACAATCTGGTGTTGTTCAACCATGAAACTCATGAGATTAGAAATCTTGAAATGTACGGATGTGGCAGTTTTCTTGGGCTTTGGGCTGTTTGTTACAAAGAGAGCTTAGTTTCATTGTTTGGACAAAATGATGAGGATGGGAGGAGGGACTACCAATTATCTGATGCTGTTCATGACTTCTTTATTACCAGTTGCCGCCAGAGCCTAGGATTTAGGAAACCAAATCCAAAATAACCTATTATTATTGTTATCCGATTGTCCTCTTCGGTTCCCTTTTTTTTTTTTTTTTTGTAGGTTGTCTCGTCGGTTTATTTTCTCTGTTTTGAAAATTTGTACTTTTTTATGGATGTTGAAATTAATAATTTGAAATTATATACGTTGACATTTCTTTACTTTTTATTATTATTTTGAAGAGCAATACAATACTACATCTCCTAATTTCTACCCCCAAACTCCCCTCGAATGATAACAATTTATTATTTGCCATATCATTGGGTGAGTTTGGAAAAATTAGGGAATGGAACATTTTTCACACTTTTTATCTCAATCTCATTATTAGTAGGTAACCCGTGCGATACCCGATAATTTATTTTTAAAATGAAAAATTACTTTTGGATCTTAATATTTTGTGTTGAAAAATTTTAACAATTGAAAGTCAAATACAAATAGATTTACTAATAGTTGATAAAAATTTATGTCACTATGTGTTATCCTTTGTAAAAGGCTTATAAAAAAAAATTCAAAGAATTTTAAAAAATATGTATTTTCAACTTGAAATCAAATCATCATTTGTATTAATCAAATTTATCAAAAATTATGAATTTAACTTATATCAAAATATTTTTTTCTAAAAAAAAATAAAAATAACAAAAAAATTATAATATGTATAAATTATGACTTGATTATAACTCGTGGTGTATTATTTTGATTATTAATAGAAAAGATTTTTGCTAATTTCTTATGTTTTTAGTTGTATCTAAAGTGATGCATTAGGTCCTTAATTATACCTTAAGGTGAGTTGACTCAAAGATAGGATCGTAAGAGTTATTCACATTGATGCATAAAAAATTAAAAATTCAAATAAAAAATAGTGTCTTTGAAAGGAATTTGGCACAAAATTTCTATAACTTTAATAGTTTTAGTTCTTAAAATGATTCTTATTAATTATATGATACATCATAATAATTGCAAATTTTTTATTCCAGTTAAATTATTTTTGCATACTTTTTGGACAGAGCTCATGAAGGTACATTATCAATAATATTAAAAGTTCAAAATTTTTATTTAAATTTTTTTCAAGAAACATCAATTGGTGCCTTAAATATATACAATTATTTTTTATGAATCATTATTATTTAAAATAATATTCTACCATTTATCATTTGACATTTTTAATTTATCTTCTGAAAATTTAATAAAAAAAAATTAAATTTTATTATTTCAATCAATCAATCAATATTAAATTAGACACTACACGGATAAATCATTGCTATAAGTGACTGCCGAAACCTTTTGTAAGTGGTTTGTTCGGCTCGAACAGGGCAAGTTAACTTAGACGGATAGATGTTTTAATAGTCCTAAATCCCATATTGTGAATTCGCCTGCCCCACTCGGCCAATTGAGTTATCAGATTACAAGTATTTTTATAGAATTTATCATTAAATAAATTTTTCCTAAATAAATAGAAATGATGAATAAAAAGTAAATTATTATTAAATGGATATACATGGACATCTGATGTTTCATACCTACTAAATAATTTAAACACATTGGCCATTTATTAGTCTTGTAACTTTCTGCTAGAATCAAGTGGGCCCAACAGAGCCCAGCGTCCAAAACATCAGAAATTAAATCCAAACGGGCTTGCAAATGTGAGAGAACACTATAAGAGCTTAAGCCCTGTTTGTTTTAGGTTATAGGGAGAGTATTGGGACTAATAATATCAAAGTGGAGGTAGAGAAAGCCTTGGGACTATTAGTCCCTTGGTATTACTAATACCCTTGGAAGGGGGATTGGTAAAGTGGAGGTAGAGATGGTATTAGAAAATAGTAAGGGGATTAGAAATTTTTTTATTTTTTATATATTGGGAATTATTTTTAAATATAATGTTTAATTTTTTATATTTTTTTATTTGTTTTATTATTTTATATAAAAATAATTTAACAATTCCTCATTATTAATCCCCTCACTATCAATCCCCTCCATTCTATCTCTCAAAACAAACGGGGCCTAAAAAGTAAGCCCTTAACGAGCCGAGTCGAACCAAACTTGTTCATGAACAGTTTGGTTCATTTGCAATTTTAATCAAGCAAAGGATAATTTTTCTTTGTCCATCCTATACTAATTATATTAATTAAATACTTTATGCATACTATATATGTATATATATATATATTTCACTTGCACTTTTTTTTTAACTCTCATTTTTTGTTTATTTAGCTATCAATATTTATTGATCATATGTTATATTATTTTTTTTTCATTAATATCGTTGACAGATTAGCTTGATACCTCCCTACTTCACTTTTGTCTTTGTGGGCATTTTTTTTTTTTCATAACTGATAAAAGTTTTTTTTTTTTTTTGCATCCTTAATTTAAAATGAATAATGTGTAAGCATGTAGAAAATGTTGCACTGACAAGTGACCAGTAGGTACGGGTGTAATTGTTTGGTTCCGAATTGGGAGAAAATTTAGCTCTAAATTGAATTCTTTAATTTTGTTAATTGAAAAATCAAAAGTGACCCAATGCCACAATTTGATTTTGTTGTTTTTCAATTTAGTACAAAATAATAATTCACACGACACTTTAAGGGCATGTTTGATTGGGTGGATTAGAGTATGGGATTAGGATTATTAATCCGTGGGTCCAATTATCTCATGTTTGTTTTAACATTTTGGTTTAGGATTATTAATCCAATGGATAATTAATCCAACAAATTTGTAGGATTATTAGTAATGGGGTAGGGGTGAGATTATTAATCCAATGGATATTAATCCAATTGGATAGTGAATCCTACACTAATTTAAGGCCATGTTTGATTCACAATACTAATAGTGAGGTATTAATAATCCTATCAAATTAGTGTGGTATTAACTATCCCACCCCTACCTCATTACTAATTATCCTACAAATTTGTTGGATTAATTATCCATTGGATTAATAGTCCTAAACCAAATGTCAAAACAAACATAGGATGGTTGGGCCCACGGATTAATAATTCTAATCCCATACTTTAATCCTTCCAATCAAACATGCCCTAATAGGATTATTAATACTTCACTATTAGTCTTTTGAATCAAACATGACCTAAGGGTTTTAAAAATTTATATAATCACATAGAAAAATGAAAAGAAACGGTGACAAATGCTCTATAAATGCATTTGTCCCTAACATTTGTTACTTATCTTTAAAATATTTAATAATTTTATTAACACATGCTTTAAAGACGCATATCAATAAGTTTTAAAATATTATACAATTTGTAAGAAAATATAAAATTTTCTTAACCTGTGTAAACAAGAGCTAATATTTATATTTCAGAAATAGATCAATAGTTAGAATTTGTCCAGTTGTTCATATTTTAATTTGATGAACTCCTCTCACGTGTGGAATAATTTATTGTACATTATTATGATCAGATTTTAATATACAGTATATAGCATGCACACATGTTACTACTGTCTAGGCCAACTTTTGCTTCATTGTTCTTGGACATGAAAAGTTGCAATTACAATATAGTTTGTCCAAAACGTGAGAAATTATTGAAGAATTTGTTTTTCCTTGGGTTTTTTTTTTTTCTTTTTTTTTTTTTTTAGATTGGAAAGAAGAAAAAAGAACTAAAGAAAAATCAAATTCTTGAGTTGGATAGTTAGGTATTGTGAGCCTATTTAGGGGCATGTTATAAAAATATTAATACAAAAAATTAAGATGATCGGATATTAATAGTTATATTTTTATATCACATTTGTTTTTTAAAAAAAATAAAGAGAAATATAATTTCAATAATAGACCGTTCGTTTTTTATTTGGTACATTAAGGAAATGAATCATCATCAATATCTTCTCTGCAATTGGGCTTGTTGCAGCTAGTGAGCATTACAAGATTTCTTTTGGTCTTTTTTTTTCTCAACTAAAATCAATAACAAGATTGTTCTTTTTATTCTGTGTCATTAGAAAAACAAGGCTCTTGCTACAGAAGCGGTAAAATGTTGAGCAACAGGGATCAAAATTTACCTGAAGATGTTGTGAATGAGATACTGTCAAGGCTGCCCATGAAATCCCTATTGCGATTCAAATGTGCCTGCAGGTATTGGTACACTCTAATTAAAAGCCCTGATGTCACGACGCCCTCCATGTATCCAAGGGTTAAACATTGTGATAGCCAGTAACTGAAGTTACCTCCAGTCAATTCTTGAACAAATTTATAAATGCGAGCAGAAATAATATTTAAATGAGGGTACCAAAATAATCATCGGAGTTTTTATTTTTACTATAAAATTTATTGACCAAAAAGGCCGATATTTACATATAAACATGTCATAAAAGTGATGTGTGTGTCTATTCCTCAGTCCTGCGTCTAAGACTTCCAAAAGCTATTTTTGAATTGCACTGTTTCCTGAAAATTGATAAACAGCTATAAGCACATGGCAGAGTGAGAAATATTATGCCAAGAGTATTAGGGACACAAAATAACCATAGATAGTTATGTAACTAAAATATTTTAAATAATTTAGTTTGAACAAATAATTATTTAAGTAGCAAAACCGAGATTATGTAAATAAATAACCATAACCACGGTACCGAACAGAACAGAATAGAGGTCACATGAGTGACAGTCAAAACAGAGATACGGATTCAAGAGGTGGCTCGTACGGATTATAGAGGTAGCACTTATCTCCGCACAACATCTCCCCACAATAGTGTAGCACTTATCTCCGCACAACACTTTGCTCTGCACAGAATAGAGGTCAATAAATCCATGACAACAGAAGGCCACAAAGTGACCAAACAGAGGCCAATGGTTATTTAAGTTCCCCAAGGCGCGGGACTCCCGCGGTAGCACTTACAAAACATAATTGTTTATAAGATCATAGTCAAATATTCTTTAAAATATAAACAAATATATCCATGGGTTTCATTTTAACACATAGAGTTCAGAAATTAATCCACGTAATTGAAATATTTATAAAACATAACTTATATTAATATAACTAATAAAATACAACTTGTATAAAATAAATTATGGTAAGTCAAAACATACGTAAAATATATTGTGGTGACTCAAGGTATAATATAACTCACCTTAAAATTAATAACTCACTATTTCTTTCCATTACTAAAGACTTTTTTCACTTCTAGAATTTTCTTCGCTTTTCTTTCCTTAAGTTTTCCTTTCTTTCCCTTTCTTTTTTTCCTTTTCTTTTTTTCTTTTTCCTTTGCACTGATCTTGATCTTCTCCCATTTATAGGGAGGCAAGCCCTCTCATTACCCACCACGTGTCCACGCCAATCTCTCTCAGATTTGGATTTAAATCTCTCAAATCTATACTTATCTCATTAATTTCTTTTAATTACATTTTGGCCCTAATTCTTTAAAATAGTTATATTCCCCTAATTAGTATCAGTTTTACAGAATAATTAAAAATTTAAGTTGCTACACCTGATTTCATTAGCAAGCACTTTAACCAGGAAAATAATAATGGTCGTCTCCTTGTTCAGCATTATATTTCCGACATTGATAGATATGATATCGCTCTTTTCCCTAATGAAACACTTGCTGGCATACCATCTTTTGCATGATGTTGGACCATTTTAATATCTTTTATTTATTTATTTATATATTTTTTTTGTTCATGAATCTTCTTTTGTTCTGTTCATGAATCTCATCTTGTTCATGAATGGAGATTTATTGTTTTGGTGACCTTTTGTCTTGTTCATGAATGGAGAATAATTAGAGTTCATGAACGTGGCGAGTTAATTTTTTGGAGACTCTCCCTTTTCTCTAGGTTCATGGTCATTATTATTTTTTGGTGTATTTTGTAAAGTCCTAGGGGCCTATAAATAGTTCCTCTCATCTTTTCTTTTCTACACCAACACACCAACTATTTTCTATACTTAAGAGATTATTAGCAAAGAATGGTGTTTTTCTAGGTAGAGTTTTGGGTTCACCATCTTGTGCAGAGTTGGCTTGAACCATACGAGAAGTGGTCAGGCTGTTGTATCCTGGAGGGGACAAGTCATAGTTTTGTGACTGCTGCATTGGTATTTTGATTCTTCCTACCGTAGTGGGCTTGAGTGATACTTTAAAGAAACTTGGTAGTGGGAGACGAGAGTATCATTGGTATTTTGATACTCTCGTCTATGGAAATACAGATGGTGGGCTTGAGTGAATTAGGGGGAGACGAGAGTTTCTTTACATATAAAAGTGATACTTTAAAGAATCAAATCAATTCGGTACAAAGATTAAAAGAATTAGAAATGATAAAGGCCAGGAGTATGAATCTCTCAGATTCAACTCTTTTGTTCAGTCATTGGGCATTATTCATGAGACGACTCCACCATATTCACCTTCATCTAATGGCGTAGCTGAAGGAAAAAATAGAATGTTAATTGACTTGACGAATGGTATGCTTATTGATTCAGGTGCTCCCTCAAATCTTTGGAACGAGGCTATTTTGACAGCTTGCAATGTGATAAATAGAGTGCCACACAAAAAAACTAAAATTGTACCTTATGAGTTGTGGCGGGGGCATAAACCAAATTTAGGTTATTTGAGGGTTTGGGGTTATTTAGTTTTTGTGAGGCTTGTGGATCCTAAATGACCTAAATTAGGTGAACGAGCTATCACTTGTGCCTTTTTTGGGTATACGTTGCATAGTACAACTTATAGATTTTTGATATGAAAAATAATATTATTTTTGAATCAGGTGATGCTATTTTTCATGAAAACAAATTTCCTTTCAAATCTAGAAATAGTAGGGGTTAAATAATTTCTGAAAATATTTTATCTGTGCCTAACTTTTCTACTCCATCTCAAATTTTTCAAGAACAAGAAAATTCTCAAATCCAACCAAGGAGGAGTAAACGAGCTAGAGTTGAAAAAGATTTTGGCCTTGACTATTATCTTTACAAAGTAGAAGAAATTCCTCTTACAGTGCAAGAAGCTTTATCATCACCTGATGCTATTTTCTATAGAGAGGTTGTAAATATGAGATAGATTCACTACTTTCAAATAAAACATAGAAGCTAGTGGATTTACCTCCAGGTTGTAAAACTACTCGGTGTAAATGGGTCCTTCGTAAAAAAACTTAAACCAGATGGAACTATAGATAAATATAAAGCGAGGCTTGTCGCTAAAGGTTTTAAGCAACAAGTTGATCTTGATTTCTTTGATACTTTTTCTCTGGTTACTAGAGTTACATCCATTAGACTGTTAATAGTAGTGGCTGCAATTCATGATTTAAAAATTCATCAAATGGATGTGAAAATAAAATTTTTAAATGGAGATCTAGATGAGGAGATTTACATGGACCAACCCGAAGACTTTGTGGAGCCTGGCCAAGAAAGCAAGGTGTGTAAGATAACTAAATCCCTTTATGGTTTAAAACATGCTCCTAAACAGTGACATGAGAAATTTGATTCCTGCATGCTTAAGAATGGTTATAAGACTAATGAATATGATAAGTGCATATATTATAAAACTTGTGAGAATGCACATGTGATTATTAGCCTATATGAGGATGATCTACTTATCTTTAACTTTATTTTGCATATTATAAATGAGACTAAAAATATGCTTAATAGCCACTTTGATATGAAAGATCTTGGTGAAGCTAATTTTATTTTGGGAATTAAAATTGCCAAGACTAATGATGGCATTTTTCTTGATCAATCACATTATGTTGAGAAAATTTTAAAGACATATAACTTTCTAAACTGTAAACATGTTGCTACTCCTTTTGATGCAAGCATACATTTATCTATTATAACAAATGAAAAAGAAGTTATTAATCAAAAGGAATATGCTACCATGATTGGTAGTTTGAGATATGCTACTGACTGTACTAGACCTGACATTGCATACACTGTTAGAGTACTTAGCAGGTTTACTAGCAAGCCAAGTCGAGATCATTAGCCAGCCATGAGAAGAATTATGAGATATTTATCTGGTATCAAAAATTATGGTTTGTTTTATAACAAGTATCCTGCGGTACTTGAGAGATATAGGGATGTCGATTGGAACACTTTGTCAGGTGATTCTCTCTCTACCTCGGGTTTTATTTTTACCTTGGGTGGTGGTGCTATATGTTGGAAGTCTAAAAAACATACTATAATTGCTAATTCTACTATAGAAGCTGAGCTTATAGCATTAGCTTCAGCATGTGAGGGAGCGAATTGGTTGAGGGATTTGTTACATGAAATCCCTTTTTAGGAAAAACCAATTCCTCCTGTGTTAATTCGGTATGATAGTACTGCTGTTATTGGTAGAGTGAACAACCATTTTTATAATGGTAAATCCAAACCTATTCGAAAGAAACACAGTAATGTGAGATCCTATTTGAGTAATGGCATCATTACTGTGAATTATGTAAAATCTTATGATAATCTTGTGGATCCGTTAACCAAAACCTTTGCGAGAGATAGAGTCTGGAATGCATCAACGGGGATGGATTTGAAGCCTATAAAATCATAAACCATGCATGAGGATACCCAACCTAGGGACCAAAGATCCTGTAACTAGGCTCAATGGGAAGAACAAATCATATGGTGGTTGTAAAAATGTACTCTTTAATATTTTGTTATCTATTCCTATGATGTAAGTGCATTTGTCCTATAATGTTGGAGGGTTGAGTTTTTATACTCGTTAATGAAATTCTGTAGCTCTTGTTAAGTGGGGTGTGTCAATTACAGGAATATCCTTGACATAGATTTCACCAATGTGAGCATGAAAGTGGGGCCGCTTTCTATGAAAACAAAGCTTATTCTCAAATATGCTTATGAAAACTGGGATAAGCACAAGGCCGTAATGTGCTGGCTATTAAAAGCTCATGTCAACACCTAGATTATTATGTGTGTGCAGTAATACTTTATTTCCCTTAAGAAGTCATTGTTCAAGTTTGAGACCACTACTGACTCTGGAGTAGAGGTTGCTGTTTCACTAATGAAGTTCAATGCAGAACACACCTCCATGATGAATACTAGTCTATCTTTGTTTGGTAATCTCTCTTATCCTTGTTAATATTAAAATGAGTGGGGGATTGTTGGACCGTTTTAATATCTTCTATTTATTTATTTATATATATTTTTTTGTTCATGAATCTTCTTTTGTCTTGTTCATGAATCTCATCTTGTTCATGAATGGAGATTCATTGTTTTGGTGACCTTTTGTCTTGTTCATGAATGGAGATTAATTAGAGTTCATGAACTTGGTAGTAAGTTAATTTTTTGGAGACTCTCCATTTTCTTTAGGTTCGTGGTCATTATTATTTTTGGGTATATTTTGTAAAGTCGTAATGGCCTATAAATAGTTCCTCCCATTTATTCTTTTCTACACCAACACATCAACTATTTTCTATACTTGAGAGATTACTAGCAAAGAAGAGTGTTTTTCTTGGTGGAGCTTTGGGTTCACTATCTTGTGCAGAGTTGGCATGAACCATACGACAAGTAGTCGGGTTGTTGTATCCTGAAGGGGACAAGTCATAGTTTTATCACTATTGCATCGGTATTTGTGTTCTTCCTACCACAATGGACTTGATCTCCTTAAAGAAAACGAGATATCCATGTCTCAGTCTGATCTATTTGTATCTCATTTTTTTTTGCATTATTTATTAATAAAATATATTTTTTCTAGTATTTTCACCAACACATGAAAATCTTGATCATCTACAGAGCCCAGAAGATATAGGCAATGTTGTTGGCCCCATTGACGACATATTTTTGTTGTACATTCCTGGGTATTATAGCAACAATGACCGTATGGCTCTGTGGAACCCTGCTATGAGAGAGTTCAACCGCCTCCATGTACTCGAACCTATCTTTCTCCCGAATTTTCATGCCGTTACAAATGTGGTTGGATTTGGGTTGAACCCATTGACTAGGGATTACAAGATTATTTGGATTCGTGACTTTGTTGAAACGATTGGTGATGAAACATATGATCTATATTATCCTTATCATGTTGCTGCAATATACACTCTAGGTAAAGATTCGTGGAGACATTTCGATCTTCTTACAATACCTAAAGACCGTACTATCTATAATTCTTTGTGTGCCACATGCATAAATGGAGCATATTATTGGCTGTCTGGTTTGGATTATAGTGAACATAGGATCCTTTCATTTGACATGCAGCTGGAGGAATTTAGAGAGATAGAGGGGCTTGATCATCCTGAACCTAAATGGAGGTTTCTTTCATTGTACAACGATTCTATTGATTTGTTCCTTTGTCAAACTGTGTGATTTTGCAATCTATTATTGATATATGGGTGATGGAGGAGGAAGGGTGTTGGACCAAACTAATAACAGCAAATCTCTTTCCAGAAGTTTTTCTTCCACGGGGGTTTTGGAAGGAGGAGCTTTTGCTTGAAAGTCAAACGAATGAGCTGGTGTTGTACAACCATGAAACCCATGAGATAAGAAATCTTGAAATCTACGAATGTGGCAATACTCTTGGGCTTTGGGCTATTTATTACAAGGAGAGCTTAGTTTCAGTGTTTGGACAAAATGATGGGGATGAGAGGAGGAGGGGTTACCAATTCTCTAACGCGGACAAGCTTAGGGTCTAGGATTCCGAAACCGGAATAACTTATTTATTCTTGTCTTGATTGTCTATCTTCGGACTCACTCTGTTTTATTGTGGGTATGTTTTCTCATTGGTTTATTCTCTGTTTTGAAAAATACTACTTTTTTATGGATGCTAAAATTAATAATTTTTTTTTGAGTAGTAACTCTTTAACATCCAAACAACCCGGTCTGACATTTGTCAGTGCTCAAATTAAGGGAGAATATCATTTGAGTGGAACGTAAGATAAATAATCTTAAATTACTGAAAAACTTTGCAACATTAAGACATAATTTTATATACTTTTTTCATGAATTTGGTACTATTTTTTTAACATTATACTGACATATTATTTCCCCTAAAATTAACAATTCCAAACTCTCTTCTGGGTGCCTAGCCACTAAAAGATAACACATCTCTTTGTTTTTACAATTGATGCTTCAATTATTTGGATTACTGATTTATTAAAAATAGAAAGTTAAGTAAAAAGAGAACTGTTGAGCTAAATAAATATATGCGTTGTTACCACTTTTTTCCTCCATTGTGATCCATTCAAACACATTGTAGAACAAAGACTTCATTTGTCTTCTTCGTTGTAATTTATCCACAACTTCGCACTTTGGTATTCAAAGAAAATGAAGAAGAGAGAATAGTATTGGCATGGAGGCCTCGAGTAAAAAAACACAAAAATAAAAGAAGATAATTTACGATCTCATATTAGACACATTGTGCTCTCGACTTTTTGTGTTAAGAAAAATACATTTGATTTATTTTTTGGAAAACAAAAAAAGACTACATTATATCTTTTATTCTTTTGTTTTCATTTTTAAAATGCACACTATCCATACCAAAAATGGTAAAAACTATAAAACATAGAGAAATTGCTTAGTGTTATTGGAATAAATGTAAGTGTTGTGTGTGCTCTAATTTTATAATTGTTGATATAAATAACACAACTTATCACTTTTGTGTTATTATTCTTTCTTCAAATGTGTGGTGTATAACATACAACATATCCTAAATGATCAAGACTTTCTTGATTCAATCGAAAAGGCAAAAGACTATTTTGTTGACTTTGATTTTAAAAATATATATTAAGGGTTAGAGATTTGATTACATATAGTATGATTTATTCTTGTTTTAGAATAGTTATAAGTTCTTTTGTGAAAATAAAAATGTCCATGTATAAAGATGGTAAATAGAGATCTCATTTTTATTTTAGGATTAATGAATGTTTTTTTTTTTTAACTTTTTTTTGTTTCAACAAAAACAAATGGCTTCTTTATTAAGTCCATTCGGCCGTGATTGGGTTGAGTTAAAAAGAAGGACTAGTCTATGACCCACTAACTAACACTGCATGCCTAATAATAAAAGTAACTAGCAGCTAGACACACGAAGTGTATGTGCAAATTTGTAAATTAAATATAAGCTTCAAAGTGCATTCAATATATTGAATATATAAATTTTTTTTAAAAAAAAAATTTAATATATAAATAATTTTGGCCGAACTCAGTAACTTTAATTGAATATAAATTTTTAAAAAATTAAATATAAAAATAATTAAACACAAATTCAAAGACTAAACGTTTGTAATAAAAGAGATTTGATAAATATGAAGAAAAAAAAAAATTAATTAATTAAAAACTAAAAAAAAAAACCTCAAAGATAATGCAAAAGTATATTGAAATTGAAAAAAAAATTCTGAATAGCTATTTCGCGCTAAAATAAGTAACTTTCAACAAAAATATTTATGAGTGTATATATATCCTATTGAACATTGAAATTCAAAAAAAAAAAAAAAACTGAATGTCTATATCTTCCTCATTATTTTTCTAAAATAAGTAAATTTTCAAAATATATTTTCAACTTACCATTCTTAGCCATCCAAGAATTAAGATTTTTTTTAATATTATATTATTATCATTGTTTCTTGTGTTTCAAAAAATGTTTAAGAACATCCTCATTCTTTTTTTGTGTGTGCAATTTTTTTTTTTTTTTTTAAAGTTTGGAATACTACTTTTTTGGAACAGATTGGGAATTGAAAAACTGGTACGTTTTAAAGAAAGATAGAAAGAAAAAAATTGAAAACACAATGAATAAAAAAAAAATTCCCTTTTTTGTTTTATTTTTCTAACTTCTCTATTAACTTGTTAAATCAATGTGCAAAAAAAATAAAAATAAATTTATACTTAGAATGATAATCCATATAATTTTAAAAGTTTGTACCGTAAAATCCACATCTGTCTGTGCTATGTATAAATCATCTAAGATATATGTGCACAAAATCTATAGAATCATAAAAACTTTATATATATATATATATATATATATTTAAAATGTTTACAAAAAAATTATATAAAAATAAGTTTAAACTCAGAATGATAACCAATATAATTTAAATTCACTAGAAACAAAAAAAAAATACTAGAAATAAAAATCTCATTTTCAAAAAATTGAATTCAGAAAATTGGAAGCAAACAAGGTGAATTTTTCATCTCAAAAATGAAAAAAAAAAAATTTTAAATAAATTCTTTAGACAATAATTGAATGTTAATTTTTTTTACCCACACAATTTTGAAATTACTATTAATTGATCGATTCTATTGAAATTAATTTGAAAAATAAACTAGTTACAAACACGTGCACATGAAGTAGTCAATAAATTTTCGACTCAATTTAGTTTATCCACGACTCAATTAGTTTATCCAGGATGGACTCTAGATAATTTGAGACTTAAAGGATAATTTTAAATGAGAAATTTTATAATTTTTTTACAAAGTATATTATTTAAAATTTAATTGTTTTATATTTAGGGGGCTTAATGATTTTTAAGATATAGTTTGGAGGTAAAATAAAATTACAAATTAAATTTAGTGCTAAGTCAGCAAATTCCGTTTGACTGTAAATGAAAATAGATGACGAAAAGTAAATTGAACAAATTTTTTTAAAAAATTAAGAATTAAATTAAAAAAATACAAAATCTTAATGCCAAATTAATTTTTGCATAATAATTTAAGAAACAAAATAATATTTTCTTTATATTTTATCTTAAACTATTTTAATATTTTTATTTTTATTTTTATTAACTATCTGGCCAAAATACATCATCCCATACCACCCCTAATTCACCCCACCATCTGTATTTGTAAAGAAACTCTCGTCTCCCTCTCGCTCCTCCTCAACTTGTCGGTTGCCGCCACCGCCGTCGCTAGCCTTGTCGGTCGCCGTCGATCATCCTCTCAGATCAACTCCGCTCGCCTATTTGGTAACTGGTAAGTCTCTCTTTCTCTTTGCTCTCTTATTTACTCTCCAGATTTGTTTCTCTTGCCCTTTAATTTACTCTCCTTTTGCTATCCAGGTTATGGGCATTTTTTTAAATATTATTTTTTGATCTTGGAGTGCAATGACCACAGTTGTTTGTTTGTATTAATTTGGACTAATATTATTTTGTGTTAGATTGTGACTGATTCTTATTTATCTCTCCTGTTGACATCTCTCAACCACATCGCCCGAAGTAATTTCTCCTGTTGAAATTGTGGATCAATCATCTGATTTCGTATTTTAGGTCTCTCTCTCTCTCTCTCTCTCTCTCTCTCTGTCTCTCTCTCTGCGTTAACAGTTTCATCATTTGAAGCTGGTTCTCTGTTTTGTACTTGATTTTTCTGTGCTTCTTATCTCTCAATTGTCTGGTTTTTACCGATCTATTCATATGGTTTTGGTTTATTGATTTATTTTCATGTCTTAGAATCTCTCCATCTATTCCTCAGAAATTCCATATATTTCTATAGGTGAACTTGTTTATTAGGGTTTTTATCAAAAAAAAAACTAAAAACTAACCGGATGAGTTTTTTTTTTTTTTTTCACAGTTCCAGAAATATTAATAAATTTTTTGAATTCTCAAAAAATAATATTTCATCTTTTGCCAAATGTAACACTTTGCCAAGCGTTAAGACTTTCGAAGTGCAATGTTATATCTTTGCTATTAGTTCAAAGTTATCAATTCATTCCTCATTCTTTCCTTTAGGTAGTGTTCTGCTGTCACCTTTCTTAAAAAAGGATTTGATTCATGAAACATTATTTGAGAGAGGTAAAATGTCGCAGAGCAACTGTGATCATCGTGATAAATTATTGTTTGATGTTATAGAATTATATATATTTTTTGATTTATTGTCTCAAAATCACATACGATACGTCAACCTATATTTCTTTTTATATTATATTTCTTTTTATATTATTTGGTGTATTAAGGAAATGAATCATTATCAATATCTTTTTTGCAATTGAGGTTGTTGCAACTGGTGAGCATTACAAGATTTCTTTTTGTCCTATTTTACTCAACTAAAATCAGTAACAGGTTTGTTCTTTTTATTTTTGTGTCATCAGAAGAATAAGGCTCTTGACAGTGAAGGTGGTAAAATGTTGAGCAACAGGGATCGAAATTTACCTGAAGATGTTGTGATTGAGATTCTCTCAAGGCTGCCCGTGAAATCCCTGTTGCGATTCAAATGTGTCTGCAGGTATTGGTGCACTCTAATTAAAAGCCCTGATTTCATTAGCAAGCACTTTAACCAAGAAAACAATAATGGCCATCTCCTTGTTCATCATTATATTTCCGACATTGATAGATATGCTATCTCTCTTTTCCGTGATGAGACACTTTCTGGCATACCGCCTTTACATGAAAATCTTGATCATCTACAGATCCCAGAATGTATGGGAGATGTTGTTGGCCCCATTGACGGCATATTTTTGGTATACACTTGGTATAGTGATGGTGACCGTATGGCTTTGTGGAACCCTGCTATGAGAGAGTTTAGACGCCTCCATGTACTCGAACCAATTTTTCCACCGAATTTTCATGCCATTGTAAATGTAGTTGGATTTGGGTTGGACCCATTGACTAGGGATTACAAGATTATTTGGATTCGTGACTTTTATGAAGCGATTGGTGATGAATCAGGTGATGACATAGATTATCCTTATTATGTTGTTGCAGTATACACTCTAGGTAAAGATTCATGGAGACATTTCGATCTTCTTACGATACCTACAGGCGGTTTCATCTATAATTCCTTGTGTGACACATGCATAAATGGAGCATATTATTGGCTGTGTGCTGTAGGTAATGCTAATCAATATCGCATCCTTTCATTTGACTTGAGGCTAGAGGAGTTTAGAGAGATAGAGGTGCCTGCTAATACTGGATATATATGGGGGTCTCTTTCATTGTACAACGGTTCTATTGGTTTGTTCTTTTGTCAAAGTGATGTGACTATGGAACGTGTTATTGATATATGGGTGATGGAGGAGAAAGGGTGTTGGATCAAACTAGTAACAGTAAGACCCTTTCCAGAATTTTCACGTCCGTGTGGGTTTTGGAAGGAGAAGGAGCTTTTGTTTGAAAGTCGGACGAATGAGCTGGTGTTGTTCAACCATGAAACTCATGAGATTAGAAATCTTGAAATGTACGGATGTGGCAGTTTTCTTGGGCTTTGGGCTGTTTGTTACAAAGAGAGCTTAGTTTCATTGTTCGGACAAAATGATGAGGATGGGAGGAGGGACTACCAATTATCTGATGCTGTTCATGACTTCTTTATTACCAGTTGCCGCTAGAGCCTAGGATTTAGGAAACCAAATCCAAAATAACCTATTATTATTGTTATCCGATTGTCCTCTTCGGTTTCCCTTTGTTTGTTTTTTTGGTTTGTATGTTCTCGTTGGTTTATTTTCTCTGTTTTGAAAATTTGTACTTTTTTATGGATGTTGAAATTAATAATTCGAAATTATATACGTTGACATTTCTTTACTTTTTATTATTATTTTGAAGAGCAATACTATGTCTCCTAATTTCTATCCCAAACTCCTCTTGAATGATAACAATTTATTATTTGCCATATCATTGGGTGAGGTTGGAAAAATTAGGGGATGGAACATTTTCACATTTTTTTTTTATCTTAATCTCATTATTAATTAACTAGTAGGTAACCCGTGCGATACACGATAGTTTATTTTTAAAATGAAAAATTTATTTTGAATCTTAATATTTTGTGTAGAAAAATTTTAACAATTGAAAGCCAAATACAAATAGATTTACTAATGATTGATAAAAATTTATGTCACTACATGTGTTATCCTTTGTAAAAAGCTTACAAAAAAAAAAAAAAAATTCAAATAATTTTTAAAAAGTATATATATTCAACTTGAAATCAAATCATCATTTGTATTAATCAAATTTATCAAAAATTATGAATCACTTATATCAAAATATTTTTTCTTAAAAATATAAAAATAACGAAAAATTTTATAATATATATAAATTATGACTTGATTATAACTTATGGTGTATCTCAAATATTCTACTAAATATTCTATCAAACCTCTCACATGGGTTTAGACTTCTACTAAATATTCTATCAAACCTTTCACATGGGTTTAGACTTACACAAATCTATGTGTGTGTGGATCCCATACTCATGTGTGAGAGGTTTGATAGAATATTTGAGATCCCTAGCATAATTCTTTTGATTATTAATTGAAAAGACTTTTGCTAATTTCTTATGTTTTTAGTTGTGTCTAAAGTGATGCATCAGGTCTTTCACTATACCTTAAGGTGAGTTGACTCAAAGGTAGGATCGTAAGAGTTATTCACATTAATACATAAGAAATTACAAATTCAAATCATAAATAGTCTTTAAAAGGATTTAGGCACAAAATCTATATAACCTTAATAGTTTCAATTCTTAAAATGATTCTGATTAATTATATGACACATCATAATAATTGCAAATTTTTTATTCTAGCTAAATTATTTTTTCATACCTTTTTTGGCAGAGCTCATGAAGGTACATTATTAATAATATTAAAAGTTCAAAATTTTTATTTAAAAACTATTCAAGAAACATCAATAGGTGCTTTAAATATATACAATTATTTTTGATGAATCATTATTTTTTAAAACAATACTCTATCATTTATCATTAAGTATTTATTAATTTATCTTTTAAAAATTTAACAAAAAAAATATTAAATTTTATTATTTCAATCAATCAATATTAAATTAGACGTGTATGTAAGTCATTTCTAAAAATGACTGTCAAAACCTTTTGTAAGTGGTTTGTCCGGGTTGAATAGGGCTAGTTAACAGAAACGGATAGATATTTGAACAGGCCTAAATCCCATATTGTAAATCCGCCTACCCCACTCCGCCAATTGAGTTATTAGATTACAAGTATTTTTATAGAATTTATAATTAAATAAATTTTTCCTAAATAAATAAGGAAATGGTGAATAAAAAGTAAATTATCATTAAATGGATATACATGGACACCTGATGTTACATACCTACTAAATAATTTAAACACATTGGCCATTTATTAGTCTTGTAACTTTCTGCTAGAATCAATTAGGCCCAACATAGCCCAACGTCCAATACATCAGAAATTAAATCCAAACGGGCTTCCAAATGTGAGCAAACACTATAAGAGCTTAAAAGGTAGGCCTTAACGAGCCGAGCTGAGCCGAGCCGAGCCAAATCAAGTCGAGCTTATTCATGAACAGTTCGATTCATTTGTAACTCTAATAAAAAAAAGGATAATTTTTTTTTTTATCCATCATGTCCTAATTATATTAATTAAACACTTTATGCATACTATATATATATATATATATCAATCATGCTGGGGACTCCAAGTGGTAGAAAAAAAAAAAAAGAAAAAAAGTTATGGACCAATCAAAAAATAGTGGGGGTGGTGGAGGTCACCCCCACTGGGGGTCTCATGCATTTTCTTATATATATATATATATAAATATTTTATTTTCACTTTTTTTTTTAACTCTTATTTTTTGTTTATTTAGCTATCATTATTTATCAATATTTATTGATCATATGTTATATTATTTTTCTTTCATCAATATCGTTCTTTTAAGAATGACAAATTAGCAACCCGTAAGGGTAGCTATCACGACACAAACTCGCCCTTATAGGTTTAATGTCGTAATCGGCTAGTAATCTTTGGATTACCAAAGGCCTCTGAACAGAATGACTTATAATTAGGCGCTGCGGAAGCAAATATAAAAACAAATATAATCCATTGAGCTGTGGAGACATATATGGAATATAAATTCTAAACCTTTTTCACATATGCATGACGTTATAATGTTTTAGTCTTACGTCATATTCATTACAGATATAGACATAAGGGGGTTTGTCCCAATATATGATTAACAGAAACTTGTTCATAATCCAAAGAGAAAACAAAGCCTTATACGTTCGCAAAACATGACCATAAGTGTAGACTCGACTTTTTTCGTGCAGCCCCCTTTCGGAGAGGCGCGAATTGGTCCTACAGTTCGGGCTTCTGTCACGGTTCTGAATTTAATCTCACAAAGTGCAATGTGAGACTGATAAACACCAAAGAGTCCAATCCGGCAAATCATTTTGGAAAATCAGTTTTAAATCAAATAATGCCAAACTAGACTGCTTTGCCAGATTACAGAGTCACTACCTAAATATTTTGTTTTTAGAAAATTTAGGAAACCCTGCCTCGTGCCAAAGGCCACGTGTTTTTCATCCCTAAATTTGCCTCGGCTCGGGAACTTGGGTACGAGAGGGGAATGTCTTGAAATGAGCACCCCCGCTTGCCCGATCAAAGGATCAGTCTCTACTAAGTATGATATGTTGTTTTATAAACCTTATGTGTTCTTATTCCGGTTATTTAGCTAACTTTACTATGTGACGCACATATATAAGTATAGACAAAATCACGAGAATTAGAACAAAACAACTCATGTTTGTTTTCGAAAATGGTTTGAAGGTGCCACTCTCAAATGGGCTAAAAAGCAGATTTGCCACCCTCAAGTGGGCTTAAAACATGATGATTTGCCACTTCGCAAAGTGGGCTTAAAACATACACTCGTCGAATTGTCTCAATTCAAGCAATTAAGCCTTCACCCATAGGCATTCATGCAGTTAATCACTTAAGCAAATAGCCTCATAGCAAGCATGCTATCATGGCAACACTCACACTCATGCAAGTATGCTAAAACGTAACACTTACATTGTACTCCGAGCCAAAACAAAAACTAGTTAGAAATATGCACGATCCTAACTATACAAGATGCCTAATGCAATACATGCAATAATGCAATTAAATAGGCTCGGCTATCTAAGATTGCATATGAATGCAACAATTTGATACACGTATTCAAATAAGAGTATTGAAATACGATGCAGTTTGAATGATGCGCAGAGCCCGATGCATGCAATACAAATGAATGATGCAAACATGCAAGCATAAGGTATGCTAATCAAAACGTGTCCTAATCTAACCATCGAAAGCAGTTAAATAAAAGGGAGAAAGACGTGGAGTTGGAAGACATGCACACACGCACGCACACTTATTACAACATTGTGCCTTCGCGAAGGAGGGTCCGAATAAATAAGCTAACCTACTCTAAGCTAAGCTAATCAAACTAATCTAATTAAACTAGTTAGACTAATTATTACAAAACAAATAAAGAAATAGCTAAGCTAAGCTACTTAATTATTACAACACGTAACTAATTAGCAAACTAATTAATTAAATTACAAAACCAATGTACACTAATTAAACATGTAAAGCACTAAACTACACTGCCTCAGCTCTGCTTTAGGAAATTGAATATGCATGCACTTGGTTTTCGCCCCGAAACGCCTTCCGATTTGCTCTTGAGAGGCTTTGTTTGTAGGGTTACTCCAAGAAGTTTCTGCTCCACCTTACCAAAACAATGCTGAGGATTGCACTAGTGGCCTGCCGGCCATGAGTGCTTATTTCCGGCCATTTATCGGCCAAGAGTGTGCTATGCCGGCCAAGGATGAAGCACTGCCGGCCATCAATATACCAGTGCCGGCCGCTGGTATGCTGAATTGCCACACTGAAACAGAGCACGGACAGAGGAAAATGAAGGGTTTTCCAAGGATATGTTTGTACCATGCCCCTCCTTATCATCTCAAAACATCAAAGGAGTGGCATTCTTGGATCCAAAACTATCAATTAAGTATTTTCAATGTATGATGGCCAAAGATCCAAGGTGTACACTTTCAATAAATGCACAAAAATGAGACTCTAGACCACTACCTTGTCATGAATGATCAAAGACAATGGAGACAAAGGAGATTGGTTCATTTCATCACTTTGAGTATGAAATGGACCAATCTACCTTGTGTTCAATATAACGTCCGATTGAACACGTGCAATGCAAACACAACATGCTTATCTTGGTCATGTTTTACTTGTCATGTTGTATTTACTCATTTTAGCATTACCAAGTCGTTCTTTAACTGGTTAGGTCCAATGTGAAAGTTCTCTAATTGGAAAGATGGCCTCAACCACAAGTGCCTTGAGCATAAAAGAGGTCTCATGCTGTTGGTTAGGAGGAACCCTCAAGAGAGGGTTAAAACCATTAGGCATGAGAGCCTCAAGTTCACACTCAAGCCAACAAGGGGCTCAAGACCACTTTCAAAGCAAATTAAAAAGTGAAGAATAGACGGAGGGTGCAGACTTTTCAGTGCTGAAATGGCATGCAAAAGACACTAAATCATGCAAGCAACACATGTAAGACATGCTCAAAAGCCAAAAGCATTAAACTAGTGAAGAACACTATACTAGAGGCATGCAATACCAAGCTCAAATGACCAAACCAGCTCTAGACAGAGCTAAAAAATGCTAAAACAGTGGCTAAAACATGCTGAGATTGAAGCATAAAAGGCTAGAAAAACATGCTCACATGCTAGCTTGCAAACAAGGCTCAAAGCACAACTCTCAAAAGCAATGAA